TGGGTTGTCTATCCAGACTCCAGAGGGGCCGGGAGAGAAAACATAAAAAAAAAAAAAAAAAACTGATAGAAAAATGAAAAGGTGGAAGTTCCTTGAGATATTTGCTTGGATAAGGAAAATGTCCCCTCCCCTCCCTCCCTCCCTCCCTCCCTCCCTCCCTCTGATGATTTGCTTGATACTGACCCTTTGTGCTCATACACGCAAGTGGACACATTATCGTTTTGTAGTGGTACTGCTACTAGCTCAAATATAATTAACACTACTGCTGCTAAGGTATGACCTGACCCCTATCCCAAATTCTCAAATGTCCGTCCGTCCGTACGACATATGTCTTTGTAATCTCGCCGACTTCTTTCTGCTGAATCACTCCATTGCTTAGTTAGCTACTATCATCAGTTATCCAGTAAGGGGTAGGATATATTCTGTCATTACATAATTTTAAAGCAAAGATCGTCAGTTGATTGAGAGATCTAATCCAAGGCAGAAAAAGATCCGCATGTATACGTTGGAATAAAAAATCTGAGAAAATGTTCTGAAATGGCAACGTTTTCTTGAAATCCATGATTCTGTAGACTTATATTCCTTATAGGGAACAGGGGAGGAGACCACCCTTTTCTTTTTGCTACACATAGTTATCGTTTTGCAATGTCAACTCTCTGGGAAATTAAATCTCCGGACTAACTGGGGGAGATTTAATCAGCGAAGAATCACCATCTGATTTTTTGGAAGAACGTCTAGTTAGCAAGACACAGGGTTCCTTGCTATCGCCTCTGCACCTTCCCCTGGTCTTGTTTCTGTACGCAGGTTCGTCGCTGAGGTGTAAAGAGATAAGAGTTTATCCAATTCATACCACTTTTCTTGGCATTGGTCCCTACTCAAATTCATGGCATAAAATTCATGAAAAAGCACAGAATAAGAGAATCAGGAAATGAATTGGCCATGTAAACATGTACTGAGTGCAACAAGAAAATATGTGTGTGTGTGTGAGAGAGAGAAGAATCAGATATCAAAGAAAACATACTAATGCCATCGTACTTTGCACCCTTAAATGTATTCATGATTTATACCATCAGTATTGAACCTTGTACAGAGTGTAGATTTAGGATTGAAGGACGTGAATTTAGTCTTTCCAAACATAATAATTCCTTCCGTGTATACCATGCTACACATAGTTACCTTCTCAAAAGAAAATAACAAAATGTTTTCGTCATCTACTTGCACTGTGTTGTGTGCACTTAAACATCCATGACGAAGAAGATGTTAGATTGATGAGGAGCTTCTATTATAACGAGTGACAATTACACAGTGCAATGTAGAGTTCTACTTAACCATGAATATGCTAAAACAATAAATGTAAACCCATCCCAACCATTAATTGCATCTTACAATCAGACCTGTAATTGTAGGACCCCAAACCAATGTCGGGTAGATATATCATATATGCTTCTAGTGGATATGATGTTCGTTGACGCAGTAGGGGTATAAAGAATCTAGTCTAGGTCGTAAAAAGTTTGAAATTCGTCGAATTCTCTGGGCACATTTACATGTCATCCCGATGTGTGCATATCCAAATCAGTGGCACAAGGTGATAGGATCCAATGGTAACCCTTTTTTTGGGGGGCGGGGGGCCGGGGGGGGGGGAGGTGCTGGCTTTTCTCATATTCGGTGTTACCGTGTCGATCTAGTGGCGAATGGGAATTCCTACCCTGCCTGTACCCTCTTATACATTAACAGCGAGAGGCCAGCACAACAGAGCAGCAGATACGATGGCAACTCATGTCATCAAGTATATGCCTAGTTCTTGTTTTTATTGATCATCCGACTCCTCAATCAGGGAGCATGCATCCTTTTCTTTCAGAAGATTCGTGCAGGCCGGGGGACTAGTCACCCTCATTTTGACTTGTACTGCCGGATGACTTGCTCCAGTCCACTCTGGTGTGTGTATTCTTATGCTTTATTGGCTTCTGATGCAGAAACTCATCGTCAGTGCACAAAGACATAGGTGTAGTTTGCCTTAATTTGCCTCTCCCATGTTAACCACGTCTATAGACATTGGCGACGCTTTTCAGATTTGCTTGTGTGATTTTTCTTTTCTTTCGTGAAAGGGTTCCCTGATGATGCTATATGCTTATCAGTTAAAAGATATCAGTAGTATATATGTACTCGCGAAGCCATCTTAAGTACTAGATTATCGTCCAAACAAAAACCATGGAATTGACCTTAATAAAAGAACACCATATATTATGTATATGCTCCCGAAGAACCAAAGCGGCATGCAGTAACTTCATGACAGAATTGCCAACCAAAGTGGCATATACGGAGGAGTAGTAAAAAGGATATGATGTAATGAATTGCCATCCTTTCTTTCTTTTCAAAGGTATAAATCCTCATGACCTAAAAAAGTACAGACGGCATATATATGTAGGGGAGAAGCGTAATGCCAATTTTGATAACAAGAAAAGATTAAAACTGCATTATTGCCATTATCTCAAGTGAGATGCCAATTGTCATATAATTCCGAGAATAAAAAGCTTTCTTCAACTCTCTGCAAGAATTGTATGGGAGAAGTCGCCGTCTTTTATGGTCCATCAATCAGTAAATTATCAAGTTAGGGGTGATGTGCTAATTTTTTAAACTCTGTGTTCATTTCAAAAATGCTAAAACGGTCAAATCTAATTACTAGAACGTCTTATGTTAGCCACCAAATTGCCCTGTTGGCTCACATAGTCATATACATGCCAGGACCCGACCCCGATCGGCCTGTACTTTTTATCCAGTTGTGTCTGACTTGCGAATTGCAGCTTCTCTTCATATCCAATTGTTCTTTTATATGCATATTGTAGAACCCGCCGAGGGCACAGTCCGAGCTGATCGCCGGACAGAGGCGGCCGAGCCGACCTGCAATAAGCCAAACAGCGAGATTAACTCTTCGTTGTGACTCCGACGCTCAAGTCAATTTGAAAATAATAGAACAGGGGGTAATGAGTGTATTGAGTTTCGTATCTTTTCTTGGTCCGTAGAGGATTTCTCCCTCTACACATACCTACCGCAGCACTGCTGAGTAGCTATATCCAAGGGGAACGACTGACTATTCCTGATCAATTCATTTTATTCAGAAGGGTGGGAGCGAAAGACAGAGAGATTTCGCTGACAACAAAAGTCTTCCTCCTCCGAGTTAGATCCTGATTCTCAATCCTTGCAACATGTAATGTAAGATGATAATAAGAGGCCCATGTCCGAAGATGAAATAGCTGATTCCAATTCATACACAAAAATTTTTCCGAGAATTGGTGCCGCCGGCCTTTTTCTTGAGCCGGATCGAGAGCAGCTTGTGCAAACTGATTCCTTCCAACACACCAATCAATAGCTGGACGCCTCGCCACCACCAGGCATACATTTTGCTATCTCCTCTCTGTGCAGGATGAATGATACGTGGCCGTAAATGGCACCCGTAATATTCCCTCCTGCATTGTCAACCCCACGTAAAACCCTAACGCTATCACCAGGCATATCTAAAAGCAAGAAACATTGACAGGTCCAAAAAAAAAAAAAAGAGAGAGAGAGAGAGAGAATAGAATAGCTAATTAGCATATTAATTTCTTCTATTGGGCTAGGCCGTACGAATATCTCTTAATTTATTCTTGTCAAGGGCCATCTCAAATTTAAGTGACCGACTTGATTATACGATTGATTGCATGAACTTAAAAAGATTACTGCTACATCAGAGTCAACTACTAATCTAATGCATGTGTATATCTTGAATGCAATGCAGGTCAACTAGACTCTGCAAAAGTGACAGCTTAATCAATGGAAATTTATCGCACGTGGAGTGCTTTAGCATTTTGCAGTGATCCATTTTTTATAATTAGCGTAGTCAAAGACCAAAATATTCTTCTCCCACCTTCGTTTAATTTCCCTTGCATGTATTGTAACTTTTCTTGCTCCTTTTCCAAGTGTGTAATTATTGCAAGTGCTCAAAACTTCCATAAGTGGGTTAAGGATCTTATCCTGCAAGATCGGCTTGCTAAGATCGTTGTTCTGACTGAGTCTTCCCCAGTACCACCGACCAGATCATTGGACGGTTAATTGGTCTTTAATTCTTTATCATGAGCGTAAATTGTCTTAGTAGCCCAATTAATTAAGGGGGATAAGCGAGCCTTGCACGTTGCTTATTTTAGCACACGCTTCTAAAAATATTGATACTATATGCTATTATGACCATTCAAGAATATATTTCGGCATCATACGAATTGAATTTCCTCTCTATATTTTAGAACATTTTCTCAATGAGCAAACAAAAATTTTAAATAATAAAAAAAATCACAGGCTTTCCAGAGAAATTCTTTAGCTTTTCTCGTCAGACTGTCTTTCGGTTCTAGACTTCTACTCTACTTGGGGAAGAACAAAAGGTACAGCATTTGGATAACACCAATATCTTTCTCCACCTCAGCAGATGCTCAAAGGTTGGCTCTATCAGGAATTCATCAGATGGAACTAGACTAGTATCAAAGATACTAGCAGTGGAAAAATCCCGCTAGCAGCTTATTACTACTGTATTCAGCTCTCTCCGCATGCACGGTAGTGGAGATGCAGGATGCGATCAGCAAAATGCAACATTTAGAAGTTAAAATGCCAAATGCGGTACAACGTAATTTAACAAAACCCACAACTTTTCTTGGGAACCTGATTTAGTTACCGTGTCTGGCCTTCTAAGCATCATGTTCAAAGCAAATGTTCATTGATGTCCTGCCAGAATGCATAACTACTCTCACTTAATTGTCTGGAGTATCAATTATTTAGCTCCAAATTTCTGAGTAAAATATAGACTACGGAGACAATTTTTGGACAAATGAGCTGGCATCTCATTACAAAAGGAGAAAATGATAGGCTGATTTCGGAATCTAGGAAATGTCTTTCAGAACAATCTTTTTAGGCTCTCTCCATCTGGAAAGAAGGGCAATTACTGAGTACTCAAACGTGTATGTGCGTGTATATATATATGTGCAGGGTGACTAAGGTCTCTTCACAGCAACAGCTTAGCTCTATCCTCAATTGTCAAAGCACATTGTTCGCCTTCTCTTTCCAGCGAGCATTTTGCTACAAATCAAGTATCAACGATCTGTAATAAACAGAGTAATGGACTCAATAACCAGATTGACAGCTGACAAGCCAGTGGTAATCTTCAGCAAATCCTCTTGCTGCATGTGCCACACCATCAAATCACTGATTCGCAGTTTTGGTGCAAACCCAACTGTCTATGAGCTTGACGAGCTTCCAAATGGGCACCAACTAGAAAGGGCACTGGTCGCGTCAGGCAGAAGACCAAGCGTGCCGGCTGTTTACATAGGGGAAGAATTGGTGGGCGGAGCAAATGAGGTCATGAGCCTCCATGTCAAGGGAAAGCTAGTCCCATTGCTGAAGCAGGCTAAAGCTATATGGGTATGACGTTAATTAACTGCAGCAAAGAATGCTCTCGCCAACTCAGATGAGACTTGATAAGGAACCTCAAACAACCACCGCATGTGGAGTAGTAGCCTTTGTGTTGGAACTAAATCTTTGTAGTCATTTATTGAGTGCCTTTTACTTCAGCATTCAATGTTTCATTTTGTACGCGTCTTCTTCATTCAGACAGCTTGAATATTAGTATCTTGAATTACTCGTTGCTACTTGAGATAAAACTTATATCACTTTCACATGCATGGGTTCAGAAAGAGAGCAAAGGTATAGAAGTCGTACATCCAAAATCCAATCTCTGTGTTCAGTTCACATTCAAGGGAAAAATGAAATTTGGTTCCAACAATGCACCCTCATACGAGTGCCATTCAATTCAAATCGGAGTGCATCAGAAGCCAACTGGATCAATCGACAATGATCCAAAGTTAATCACCAATGCAATAATAATCATCAATTATGACAAGATAACTGTATCCTAAATTCTTATGTAGACAAGTGCTCTTCAGTATCTAGTTCCATAAATTCTCTATACAGAATGAATATATCGGCGAAAAAATAGCTCAGTAAGGTATTTAGGATCAACGATTCAGAGCCTTAAGCATCATCAGTTCTGTATTCAAAGGATGCAGCAAAGGTTAAAGAAAAAGTAAAATTAAGTACCTTTTTTTTTTCCTTCCTGAGCTTGCAGTTTAATCCCCTGAAATTCCATTCATGGGAGAATACACAATTTTTTTCTCCATTAACTTGGGAAGTACGTACATCGAATTATCACATGATTTCCCCTTCTTCTGAAAATTTTAAGGGCGTAGTTTTCTTTCTTTCTTTCTTTTTTAAATTTCCCTGGGTAATACTAGGCCTACTAATACACAACCTTCCAAGTTAACATCAAACTTCTTTCTTCTCATGATAATTAGATCAAAGCTCAAAATCAAAATATTGCTTCACACTACAAAATTCAAATAAAATTTGACGAATTCTACATACAAACATAACGAGATCGCATTAGCACCACTAATATTGAAATATCGATATTGATACTTACCAAAAAAGATATTGAAATATTGACAACACCCTTGTTAAATTTGTTTAATCACGTAAGAGAACAAAACAGAGTACACATATTTTACTCCAACCACAATGTAAGAGAAAATAGAGTATTTATTCTCACACGAATTTAACGAAAAACAAAAGGCAACGATAGATATCAATTGGAATTTAATAGAGGTGTCCGTTGACTCCGTCCTATGATAACGACGGCCCAAACTTACAGGAAAAGTGAAAGAAAGCCCCCGGGGCTAGAGCGGGTGGTTGTAGCCCAGTTGGGTGAGAGCCTCCGCAAGCGTTCGAATCCGAGTTAAACATTGGTCGGATGATGTTGGGCAGCCTCTCTCTCGATCTGCAGTGGGATTAGTTGGGGTCGTCAGGTATTACCAGTCCCAAGACCCCAGATACCCACTGTAAAGACAAAAAAAAAAAAAAAAAAATCATAGATAGGGCGTCAATTGAATTTTTTGAGTCAGGTTTATGAATTTTCCAATATTGGACTTTGAGCTCATGTTAAAAAGATTCAAATTCAACTCACACTATTATATATGAGGTTCGGGTTTAAATTGAGTTTGGCCCAAACTCATAATTAAATACATAATTATATATAATATATATTTTTATAATTATGAATTAATACAAATTTACATATAAATTATTAACATTTTATGTCATAATGTGTACTAGTATTCAAGGTACACACTAATGTCTGTGTAACTAATAAAAAAAATATTTGTGAAATATTTTGAATATATTTATTGAAATCATTTTCAAGAAACTTGGTTTTATTATTTTGAAAATACATATGCAGAAAAATTTACCAAAATAAATGTTATAAAAAGTAGTAGTTATTTATAACCATAATTTGTAGTTGTTAATTAAAATTAAGATTTATTAAATAAGTTAAAAAATAGAATATGAAAAAATCATATTGATAGTGGATAGTGATCAAAGATAAATTGATTTTTGTCTACACCATAACTTCCCTCGTCATTAAAGGTAGTTTAGAAAGTATATAAAGTGACAGATTTTTGTTTATCTCAAACCCTCTCCTCTCCCTTTATATATAATATAGATAATTATAAATTACAATTATTATTACATTTTTTTACATATATAATTATATTCATATATGGGCTGATCCTTAATCGAATCTGAGCCTAATATAACTCAAGTTTAGCTCATATTTAATTCGAATCTAATATTTAGATCCAAACTCTATTCGATTCAATTAAAACTTGGGTTCAATGAATTTTTTTTGTGCTAAATTAGTAGAATTTGGGCTGACCCGACTTTATTAATGGTCCTAATCATTGACTACTATTAATATTGAGCAATAAGTTTCAACACTAACCAATACCTGTTGCAATTGCCACTATTCGGTGTCAAATTCAGTGCCAATCCCACTTATCACGTGATGGTAGAAGAAATTTAAATAAACAATACATGACAAATTAAATAAACAGGATACTTGACATAAATATAAAAATAGCACTGAATTGTCACCGTAAAAGTGGTCCTAAGAATCCCGTGTGAACAAATACAGGGAAAAAAAAAATTCTCCAGTGTAATTTAGTAGCCTGTCCCGCGGTTCAGCTGAGCGATTTGTCATGTAACAACACTACCATGTATATTCCAATTACTGATATTACCAAAATTGAATTGACCTGAATTAAACGCCGACCACACGATGTCATGTGGCGGTGGTGAAACCGGAAACTCCCTCTTCTCAACTGTCTTGATACTCTCCTCCTACTAGACTGCTGCTACTTCTGATTCGCATGGCTTCACCTGCAGTTCCACCAACTTCATTACCAACTCTATTAAAGGATCGCCATACCCAGAGTCATCGAACTCAGGGCTACTCAGCTTCAGTGACAAAACATGGAAAGGGTTTAAACCGCGGGCATCTCCGTATTTATGCTGTAGCAGCAGCAGCCGCAGCACAGGGTCCAAACCAGCGACGAAGGGCACCGCCTGGAGTTGACACAAGAATCCACTGGGAGAACGAGGATGAGGGATGGATAGGAGGTCCTAAATCACAGCCAACACAAGAGCAGCTCAAAACCGACCAGAATCTCTTAGGTCAAAACTTCTCCGACCTTCTAAACAGTTCATCGGATTCTCATTATCAGTAAGTCTTCCTTCCCCCCTCCTTTTCCTGCTGTGATATTATGTCACCTTTTCTTAGTTTTTTCTTGCCGCCCCGATTGCTTCCCTGGTTTCCGTGGCTGCCCTTTCTCCCTCTTGGGTCATGCACCTCAAAGTTCCTTGTTCAAAGAATCTTGTGAGGAGCAGCCAGTCAATCATTACAGAATACTATAATTAAATCCACTATGTGAAAAGTGTGCGCCAAAAAATCTCCCTGTACTGCTATTAAGTGAATTACAAGCTTACACACCTTTTTCCTGTATTCCTTTTCCCCTGGGTGAGGGTGGGTTTTTTTTCTTTTTTGGGGTTACGAACTATAGGTGCCAAGCTAAATTTCCTGCTACTTTCTACCAGGTTCTTAGGAGTATCTGCAGAAGCAGACATGGAGGAAATTAAAGTTGCTTACAGGAGATTATCAAAGGAATATCATCCAGACACGACATCACTTCCTCTTAAAGCAGCATCAGACCAATTCATGAAATTAAGGGAAGTGTATGACATCTTAAGCAACGAGGAAAAGCGCAAGTTTTATGATTGGACACTTGCCCAGGAGGCAGCTAGTCGTGAAGCGGACAAAATGAGAAAGAAGCTAGCAGACCCATATATGCAAGACGTAGATAATTGGGAATCCATTCCAGACATGGTAGATCGTCTTGGAGGCAGAAACATGGAACTGAGCGATCAGGCAAAATCAGCTTTGACCTTTGATGTTTTGATCATTCTATTCTCAATTTGTTGTATTGTATACGCATTGTTTTTCAAAGAATACTAGATCAAATGAACTCTGCAGTCAAGTGTATAATACCATTTGCTAGCATTGATGATGAAATCTCCCGGGCTGAAAGAACGAAAGATATGATATCAGAGACTCTATAGACCTGTCTCCGAACTTTTTAACTCCCACTCCCCTGCAAGATTGAAATTCTATCCCCTTTCTTCTGGCATTAACTTTTGCAGAGATGAAATGCAAAAACTTTTGCCAATTTCATTCACCATACTGATTTAAATGCTGTAAAAAGGCATGGTATCCTTTATCAAACAAGTCACATCTTCCATAAAAGTTGTAGGAGGTGAAGTATAAGTGCTTATTTTGGAACCAAACAACTGGTAAACCTAACATGGCATGACACAGCTATCATTTGAAATGCAGATTCAAAACTGGATCAACGCAAAAAAGAAGCAATATGGTAACATATGTTGCAATTCAGACAGGGAAAACTATAGACTTTATACATGATCGTTCCCTTTATCATGTTGGACTGAAGAAATAATTGGACTGGCAATTAGTAATCATTTATCAATAAATTCTTTGAAGATGGGGCTCTGCTGCTCAACTTTAGCGTTCCTTCGCCAATTCTCTACTGCCGTCATTACGGTAGAATTTGCCTTGCATATCTCTTCTGGAGAGAACTTGTGTTCTATTATTCCCAAAGGACCTGGTTGCAAAACCTTGATCACAGTTTCCATATCCTGTTCCAGTTTTCTGCAAAACAGAGGGAAGCACTTTGAATGTTCTCTACAGGGAAATGCAAAAAGGGAAGGTGCCCTCAAAACAAAGGTCCAACTAGATGGACAACATGCATCTAACAGGTGTTCTACTGCATTTTTTTCATATATTTTTTAATGCACAAAATTGTAGCTTTTATTGATAAGAAAAAGAGACACAAAGAGAGATAAGCCTCAGCATTACAAATGCTAAACAGCAAGACAAATGCTAAACAGCAAGAAACTCAAACCTCAACACATGCAGCCTACCTAAGACAATTACACAGTACAGGAATTACTCAAAAAGTGTCAAAACGCAAGCTCCACTCAATGGCTAAACCCCAATTCTCACGAGTTCTCTCAACTCCCTTCATTGCTCCACAAGCAGTTCTTACATCTTTGACTATAGCTGCGCATACCTCAGATAAAACAACTGGAGAATCCTAACGAATATACAAGCATTCCTACACCTCCGCACATAGTAGAGTAGACTGAACACACACACACATACCCTATCTAAGACAATTATACAGTACAGGAATTACTCAAAAAAGAGTCAAAAAGGCAAATTCCTTGATTCAAAAGGTTACACTATCAACCCTCAACCTTACTTGTGAGGATCAATTATATAGCTGTTCAAAGGTATTTTATGTAAGTAAACTCATAGGACACAGCACTAAAACGCAAGCAAGAAACATAACAAGGAAAATCTACGGATAGCTAGTCGATGTATTGAGCTCTTGCCAATTCTACGAACACTCAGGCAATACAATACACAGAAGAGGATACACTAAGAGAATCCGTAAAAGGTAAAGACAACACACCCCACCCCCAGCCCCTTCGAAAAACACATTTAAAAACAAAAAAAAAAAAGAAGAAGAAGAAGAAGAAGCTAAATCTAACATGTGTATATTCACCAAATCCACAATGCTCGTCTTGTTCATCAGACAGCAGAAACCAACTAAAGGAAAATCAATAAAGTTCACAGAAGGCGCCACTTGTCCACAAATAAGCTCTCAAGATTAAAGATTCAAAATTTCAGAAAGGAAATATTCAGCCTGATTATAAGCTCAACTGATTTAGCACTAAAATAATTCGGACTCTCGATTTCTAGGCTGCCAATTGCAGCGGAGTAGCAAAAATCCTCAATCCCAGTCGTCTTCGAAGAAAACGAGAAACAAAATGTCAATTTTTCCGTTAATGAGGAGGAAGTGAAAGGAATCTACCTGAAAAGCCCCGAGAAGGGCAGCGAGTTGGCTACCCTCCTTAATGAAAATGCCATTCTTGCTAGTAATAATACACACTTTCACCAATTTAACACCACTACCATCAAACTGGAAACCCCCCCAACTCTGATTCGGGGATTATTGATGTTTCCCTTAATTCTTGACAAAGCAACCTAAAGAACAAAATATAAGAGATCCAAGCCTGAACTTGGAAATCCAGCCAGAAGATAAGAGATCCAACTCCTTTTACTCGCCTCCGCTGTTAAACCCGCGTGTTAATGGGCTCTTAACCAACTACTTTCTTCAGTGATCTGTCATGGTAACTGGCCCAAAGGCCTACTTTTTTTTTCTTTTTGGAACGTAATGGCGCGCGTATTAATGGCCCAAAGGCCTACTTTTTCTCACTAGTTAATTAAAAAGTAGCGTGTAATCAAATATTGAAGAACCCAAACTGGAAATATAATTAATTTTTACATCTCATGAAAACTCTCTCACACACCTCAGAATACAACAGGAATAATACATAGTTTGTTTGGGTGTATCCTTTTTTTCAAGATTCTATATAGAAAAGGAAAAAGAAAGGGCTCACGACTACCAAACAAAAATCACAAAGCCGATCTATACAGAGTATATCATCCACGCTTTCACGGTTACGACTCATGAGACAGAGTGACGCCTTCTCCTTTGGAAAGGAAATCGCGTTTCTGAATGAGCTTTGCCTCCAATAGGCTTTATGTCAATAATCCGGAATAATGAATTTAGCTTGCTTAACTTCTTGGTGAAAGATTTGAATAACTTGTTGGTGGGGTGAGATCTAACCAGCTCCTGTTTCATGGAAACGTGATCTTTCTCCAAATCTGTTAGCCTCATCCTCATTCTTGCCACTTCAAGCTTCAATTCTCTGTTTTCTCTTCTGACTGATGCGTAGTTGTCTCTTGGTGAGATGCATCCGCTTCCTGCGCCGCTGCCTGATCGCTGAGGGAATTGACCGTTCATCATCGACCCAAAAAACAATTGATTATGGCCTCCATTCATTGCATTCCGCAGCCTGATTTGCTCAAAATACAGCACCTGAACTGCCATCTGCACGGGCAACCGTTCATTCTGAGCCGCATGGCTGCAAGCTTCTTGAGACAGTTTCTGACAGTCGATTGTCTTGCATAGCCTGTACCTTTCAGAGTCCTTGATGTTGGGGTGAACCTACCATTAATACAGGAAATTATATCACTAATCTTGTCAATTTAGAGACACTTCTTTCCTGCCAAGAGTACTTACTGGCGGCAGTGGACTTCTTAACCAGAAAATGCTCAGAATGAGAGAATTGCTCACCTTGAGAAATATGTCAACAGCACGATATAATCCATCATAGACCACACGAGCGTGATCTGGAAGCAACTCTGCCAATGCTATAAACTTCGACGCTGTAAAGTTTGAATCTAGTGCAACCTCTGCAAGATAATTGTCCAACAATTTTGACACCTTAAATATTGAGCTTTGTTTAGGTGATCCTGGGCTGTCAAAGTCGTACACCATTTCACTTTCATCCCTCATTTGATGATCCTCTTCGTCATCCTCGTCCAGATTCAAGAAAAAAGAGAAAATCCTCAAGACTGACTCAGTGTCGTACAACGGTGTGTGGTTGTTTCCATGTGAATGTGCAGGAATCAGAATATCCTCAAGAATTGCCTGATCTAGCTGCAGGCCGATCCGCCTCTCTAGATCAGATCTGCACGACGTAGATGCTAAAGACGCTATTGCAGATTTTAACAAACTTGAAAGAAATGCCATTGGAACCACACTTTTCCTTGACTGTGTTGGCAGTAAACTTGCTATTGTTTCAACAGTAATCCTTTGTTTCTTCTGCAAGTCTGGATCCAAGAAAGTACCTTTAGTGAGTTGAGGATCCCTTACGATGAGCCCTTGAAGGGAGTTCTGGGCATAGTTAATTAAAATCCTGCTAATTATGTCCGGTTTCAGACCCTTTGTCTTAACTGCTGACAGAACTCTTTGGAAGAAATCAAGATTCAGCACTGTGAGAGACTTCCCCCACCAGTCTGACGGTGTTTCAGCCTCCATGTTTTGGATTGGTTTTGAAGGGAAGTTATATTCCAGCTTGGATAAGCCTGAGGTTAGCTGCTCTTTACAAGCATTGTTTGCAATTGCATTAATTAGCCTGCTAACCAGGTTAACTTCCTCTGAGATCGGTAGGAGGCTTTCACAGTTGTGAAGTACAGATACAGAGTTGGAAATGTTTGGGAACACGGAATCCCTCAGATATACTTCAACTCGGGTTTCCAAGTTCTTCTCAGAAAATTCTTCTGTCATTTCCAAAAAATGGGCTACACATCGCAGCATGGCAACATTTGATACGGTAATCTCAGTGTTCACTCCATAACAGAATTTTGCAGCCAGCTCAAATGCTTCTGATCCACCAGGAATGCCATGGAGGTTCAGTCTTGAAATTTTCGAATCCTTGGCTTCTAGCAACAATTTCCTTATTCTACCACTTCGAGAAACTAGAGGGAACTGTAAAAGATTGTTAGTAATGTCTAACAGTCCTGCACAAGCGTCATATACATGAACTGCTTGATCATTTAATATTCTACGATCAAATTCGACATATGCACCTTTTCTACAGCAAGTAGTCTCAGTTTTTTGTCAAATAACTAAAAGAGCAGAATACAATTATGAAGCCTGATTTATTTTTTTTTTCTTATATGATCTTACCTTGTGAAGCGAAAAAGTTGTTGCGCTGACTTCGATTGTAAGATCACTAGAAACATCTGATATAGGCCTGCAAAGGGGGGAAAAAGGGGGGATGGTCAAATGAGTACAAGAGCTCGCAGTAGAAGTTCAGAAAGAAGAAAGAGTCGTTGGTAACAAAGCATACATGGCTGTTAACTTGAATTACAACCTAAAAGAGAAAATATCATTGTTTTCTTTTCTCAATGCACGAGTGAACGAAGATATTTTTCCAATTAAGTGAACTTCAATTGAAACTCCATAAAGCCCTTAGCCCGTTTTTCTTTGTCATCTTCTTAGTGGTTGGTTAACTGGTACTTACACATGGATGGCAGCATCTGAAACGCTTGAGACATAAATTGATAACGGGTGGGACAGCTTATAGTTTTTGCAAGGCATAGAAAAAGTTTCACCTGAAATTGAACTCTAACCACCTGTTGTGTTGTCATTTTAGGCCAATCTTGTGAGTTCAGTCACTTTCCAACAGCTACTGCGTATGGTAGCTGTCTGAGGAACTCCGGGCAAGAAGATTGCAAATCGAGGCTGAGCCTCAAGTTATGACATCTGAAATCTAAGTGCCAAAAGTTTCAAGGCTAAAGGCTGACGCGTCCTAATCAATCATTTAAGCATTAAGACGATCATGGGATCTGTTCGCTTTCTTTGATCATATGTTCACATTGATTGGTTGGACACTTGGACCCGAGACAGAGACTTGCGATACTATCATCCGACACGGAACAACATTTTGGGAGCCAGCTACAATAGAATCTGGATTCTGAGATTATATGGTCAATCCCTCCTTTAAAAGCTTCCAGGAAAAGCCCCACCCACCACACACACCAAAAAAAAAAGAAGTGAGGAGGGGGGAGGGGGGGGGAACTATTTATGTATGTTATCATTAGAAGTATACCCACTTGAAACCGTAAGTGAAAAATGAAAATGATAGTAGTAGTAGAAAAGAATGAGGTTCCTTTTACTGTGAACGAAAGTTGCAATATCCATCCATGTAAATAAACCTGATTAGTTGAATAACTGGGACAGAAATATATTCTGATAAGAAAGGAATCATGTGGTACAATACGATGTGATGCAGGCAAATCCTTGGGGACTAGCAAGAAAGAAGAAAAAAAACAAGGTCGGTCGGCAAGTGGGTAAAATTACGCCACTGGTACTTTGAGACGAGAAGTGCATCTGACCATGTCCGCCATTGACCTCTGCCTATAATCTTCAAAATGCACTTGATCCACAAGCCAGTTAAACAGATGCAGGGGAACCCAAAAAACTAGGCAGAACTAGAATCTAGCAACCCAAAAAAAAAAATTGTACCAAGGGACTAAAATGACTGAAGATGACAACCAAGTATCCAAAATTATATATGGTTAATGTACGTCCGTCGACGCATAGGAAGGAAGCAGCATTGCAAAGCAAAAGGAAAGTAAAGTTACCATTCGGTTACATGTCTTGCACTGGAACTGGGGCGGAATGATCTCTTTCCTGATATGCTTGGCTTCAGCTCACCTACGGTAACTACTCCCATCTCCTCCACCGGCTCCCAGCTAAGCTAGTTCAGCCTTTCTCTCCTGATAACGTACATATGTCTCGCCGGCATAGCTTAGACCTTAGCTTGTCAAGGAAAAAAAAAAATGCACACGCTAACCAGGAAGACCTTTTGTGGCCGTGGTGTGGAAAAGGCTAAAATTGAGGAAGGAAAGGAGGAGGAGAAAGGCAGAAAGGTAAGCTAATGAAAGGAGTGAGGAGAAAGGCACATGAACTCATGCAAAGATTGAAAGGGGTTTGGGTTGAATTGAAATGGTTGTGTTGCGTGGCGCTTTAATGAGTGTTTCCATATTCAATTTGGTTAAATCTCTAATGAAAAGTCAAGAAAATGCGTCAACTTTTCGGTGAAAGTTGGGGGGGAGAACTCATGAGGAGCGACTTTCTCGCTACATGCATCCCTTTACTTACTGTTCTTTTCTTTTTTTTTTTTTTTTTTTTTTTTTTGCTTTTGTGTTTGGGGGAGAGGAGAGGAGAGATTTAAAAGGAAAGCGGGATTCCTCCAAGAATTGCAAGTGCTTTTGGGGTCTGTAATCATAGCCTAGCGAAAGCCAACGCATAAAGATTACCTTAAAATATTCCTAAATTATGTGTAAAGCTGATTTAAGTGGAGTATCTTAAAATAGACTCCGATTAGGGCTCATGATTAGAACCGCAGTAAATCATTAGGTTAAATGTCGGACGACTGCTCATTTTGCAGAGGACCACCACTGTGACTCTGCTGCGCTGCTCCTCCACCTCCTCCTCCTCCTCATTCCTCTTTTCCTTTTGCCCTTTCTCATTCAAAAAAATAAAGTATGGTATATCAAGAATTATGCTAAAGAAATAAAAATAATATTTGGCACGATACTTATTAACCAATCGAAGTTAAAAAATAAAAAATAAAAACCATCGAAAATCAACTAGAATTTGGAGAAGTCATGAACGTGGAACTAATCATATATA